TCCTGTCCTGGCAGTTTTTGTTATACCGTTGTCATTATTCAAATATGAATGTATTTTTATTTAATTTTACTGCCAGCAAAGCTTGCTGACAAAACATTTTTCTTTTTACACTTTTAGATGTCAAACACAAAGGATTCTGCCAGTGTATTAAGCTAACTGATGTGCAGTGACCGGTAAATTTTAGCTTCATAATAAGTGTGTCAGATCATTCCAGCTCCTCTTTGTAGTCACTCCATTAACATGAATCTCGATGGATTCCTCTGGTATTCACATGCATATCATAACTAATTCTCTGGGCATTCCAGGGTAATTCATCTTCTACCCTCTGTTTTATGATGCCAAAAAATGTTGTATGCATACATTATAAGATGGAAATTTATGAGCATTGTTTGACTACCAAAACTAGAAATCTGAGGTAATTTCAGTTTTCATTAAAACGTTTTATTAAGTAGTAATTTTAGGTTTGCCCCTTCAGAACTAGTGGGTCGTTTCACTTTTCCGAGTGTCAGATTATTTCTGAAAATGTCTCAAGAAGTAGCAGAGTTTCAGGAGAAACACGTTGTTGCTTCTTACAAATACAAATATTTCAGGAATGGTATTTGTAATGAATATTTCTGTTGCTTGCAATGTTTTACTCCAGAGAAAATCAGTAGGATTACATATCTTGAACGCTGCAGTTTGTGTGGCAATAAACACAACTGGTGCACAGCAGTTTTCGTGGCAGGGCTTTTAATAACTGTTAAATATGTAGTAAAAGAAAAAGAGCTGCCATGAAGTCTTGTTTTTTCAAATATTACTGACCTAAAGCACTGAAGAGCACACAGTGGGTGCTGTATTACCGATACATCAGTAAGAATGTATTTGAAAGCTGTGCCATTCTCCATTAGGATCACATAAGCTAATTCAAATACAGGACTGCCCCTGTGTCAAAGTGGGACTTAGTGGCACATAACTGAAGGCTTACTTTTAAGTTACACTGGCTTGTTAGTTTTGGTATCAAATAGCTGTATGCTATTTTCATAGCTGTGAAACTAAAGTGTTGATTCAAGTCTGTTTTTGTATTGGAACCAAGCCCACGCTGTCGGGTTATGCATAAGGAAGAAAGGAAATAAGCAAACAACTGAGTTTTGATTGTTATTTCTATTATTTTTAAAATCCTCTAGGTTTTGGCTTGCAAAGGAAACTGAAAATTAACATCAGCTTTCATTCTTTATGCATCAGGGTAACATCTCTTTAAAGTATTGTTAGTTATGAATGGTTTTATTATTCTGTTTTATTAATTAGGGAGCTTTTTAGAATGTTTTAGACAATTCTTATGACTATCTTTGCCACCTTTGCCTTGCAAGGGAGATTAATGAGTTCTTAAAGTTCTGCATGTGAGTATTTTGTACTCGGTTCACTCAGAAACAGACTTGGAACACAAAGCACACCGGCAGTGTCTGTGAGGGAGTTTGGAGCTGCTTGGAGAAGCGTTCAATTCAAGGCATTGACAAGCAAGAATCTAGGAGTTCAGAAATCATCTTCTGATTACTTGTATCTCCAGTCTGACATCACCACATTTCTCATGTAGGTCCTCTCAGCTGTCATCAGTGCAGGAGGAAAAGGAAGAAAAATGAAATTTTATTTTTTTTTAGCTTTGCATATTTTCAGTAGTACTTAATAGAATAGAAGTGAGTTATGGAGGTAATCATATGTATTTAAGACACTGTGAGAAAATTTGAGGTAATGTAAATCAGATATATGATTGTACAGTTGTGGCATTGTTTCCATGTGTGTGACATGAACAGATGCTGCTGGGTATGAAATACTTGCTGTCTTTGGCTTCAGTTGACTTGTGGATCTGTTTTTCTTTCGGACAAGAGCAGTGCTCTTGGGATAATCCTCCATGTAAACTCAGAAATGGTCTTTGCTACAGAGAAAAAAATAGATGAATCAATATCTTCCACTACAACCTTCTGGAAAGTTGAGATGTAAATACAAATGTTTACATTTGTGGCATCATATTTTCATAGGATCATAGAATCGTGTGGGTTGAAAAGGACCACAATGATCATCTAGTTTCAATCCCCCTGCTATGTGCAGGATCAGCAGTCACCAGACCAGGCTGCCCAGAGCCACATCCAGCCTGGCCTTGAATGCCTCCAGGGATGGGGCATCCACAACCTCCTTGGGCAACCTGTTCCAGTGCGTCACCACCCTCTGAGTGAAAAACTTCCTCCTAATATCTAACCTAAACCCTCCTCTGTCTTAGTTTAAAACCATTCCCCCTTGCCCTCATAAACCCTCCTCCTGCTTATATGCTCCTTTCACGTATTGGAAGGTCACAATGAGGTCTTCTCTTTTTCAAGCAATTTCTGGCCTATCATCTGTTCGGTATGTTTTCTTTCACATGGGACTTGTCTTCTTTGGAGTGTTGCCATGAGTTGTGTTTGGAGCTCAGCCCCTCACTTGAATCCTGTGCCTTGATTGAAGTGCTGTCAGTTTCTCCAGGCTTTGTGGCACTGATGGCCTTTGTCACTTCTCTGTTGTCTGCTCTTTACCATCACATGCTCAGTTGCAGTGGCACAGCCCTTCGTCTGCAGAGTTTAATTGGAGAGCTGTTACCAAGCTCATTTTCCTCTAGACACAGTCACAAGCCTTTAGATCCTTTACAGAAAGCTCCACGAGCCCCACCCCAAAATATGTGAAAAGAGAATATTTGCAAAGATTTGCTTGATCCTTTGTGCATTGCAGTCTGCTGTCTTACCCAATCTTAACTCCACTTGCAATAGAGCTGACTTAGCTATACAGAAGCTCACCTGATACATTCGGATTTGAAGTACATTACTCAATTTCAGAGACAGTAACTTTTTAAAGTAGCAACTGCTGTGTTGTATAATCTTTAACTACGCTCATGTATTCCCCAGTAAATTTACTACATGAAATTTAAAGGTGTCCAGAGTTCAGGAAGGAGACAGACTGACAAAGTCCCAGTGTGCTGGGATGGAATGAAATCAGGTTTCATGTCATCTCTTTGAAACTCATGCAGGTTTTTGTATTGCCTGCAGCAGTGAACAATTGAAGATTATGTTTGTGGGCTACTTTTTCTGCTTGGTGCTTGTTATTCCCCATGGCACAGTGGAGCTGCTTATCCATACAGAGCATGCAGAGCTTGTGGAAGACACCCTGCTGCATAGCACCAGTACCTGTGTGCTCAGCCAAGGCTATCGAGGCCACTGGCTTGGGTGGGTTTGGGAGTCCTTTTCTTACCCAGTCTGCTGGGCAGTGACAGCCTGGGAGGAATTACCTGGAGAAGATGTGTGGTTGCTGCCCACTGCTCCCAAGGCAAGATAGGCTGCGGAGTCTCTCTCAAGGATGCCAGTGTTTTGTTCCCAGTGGCATGGGAAATTGAAATGTTTGAAATTGTGTAAAGTCCAAAGGTCTCAGAAGTGGGATCTTCTTGTGCTAAGGAACTCAATCTTGCAACAGTTGAGATTCCCGTGTGAGATCATTAGCAGGTTGAGAGATAGGAAATACAGTAAAAAATGAGTAAGTATATATAGAGAAGTGTGTATGTGTGTATTCATTGTAGTTATTTTGCTTCTGCTGCTCCAGCAAGTGATACACAAGTTGTTTTCCATCTGTGCCATACACGCTAGTTTGAAGAAACCGCAGATGCTTCTGCGGAACCATTCTGGGAAGTGTTCAATACCTACTGGGCGTGTGGAAATGTGCTTTAAAAAAAAGTAGGAAGTGTGTTTTGCAAGTCAGGTTTAGTAGGCATCAGCACTGATTGAAGAATGAGTGTTTTGTTCCAATTACCTGGAACTGATACTTTGTTAGAGCAGACCTGCCTCTTCTGCACAGTCGTAACACAGAAAACAGGACTATTTCTTTTCAGATGGCAATGTCTTGTGTAAGATGTGGTTTCTGTTGAAGAGATTTCCTCCTAGCTCATGTTAACCCTACAGTGCATCTTAGGTATGCTATTAGCATAATTATTTTTAAATGTTCTCTTAATTGCTTAGCTTTTTCTTAATATTAAAGACAGTTTTATGTTTGTGTTGCATCTGTTTACTGATAATAGCAGTGAAACAAAGCTGCAGAGTATCAGAATATATACACAAAGTATAGGTTGTTATCTTTTGAAGAATGTAAACAGTAACATACGCCTTTTTGAGGAATGTGTACAATAACATATGCTCTTACGTAAGTTAGACAACAAGGGAAACAGAAGTACTCCATTCCTTGTTTTGGGCTTAGTTAACTGTATGCTTATTTTACCAAAAATTGTTAGTCAACCCTGCGCCCTCTGGCATATATGCCTGAAGTTTACTAAAATGTCTAATGCCACTTATAAAATCCAGCCTTTTTTTTCCTCCTTTTATTTATCCATCATTTAAAAAGATGGAATTAATAGGTGACTACAATTAGGTTCCTGGCTATTGCCATTTTGTTAATGGGGTGGTTATCTTGCAGAGCAGAGGTTTGGTGCTGAGCGAAGTCTGTTTCTGCCTCCAGAGCATTTTAAAAGACCGGTTGGCAGAGTGTCTCTGTGAGTGGTATAAACTCTCCTGTTCAAGTCATTTGGCTGGAACTGTTTGCAGTCTGGCTGCTTATAAGCAAGAAGTTTCAGTGTTTGAAATTGCTGTTAATGATTGTCAAGGAAAGCAGGGCTACTCCCAGTAAATAAGGTTGGTGGAACATATGTAATGGCTGGCAATGAAGTGAGCAGGCAGCTGGTTGGAGAACCAGATGGAATATGGCTGTCTGTGGGTGGGAGCGCACGGAAGCAGATTGTGCCCAGGGATAGTGCTGTGTACTGCTGTCCCTGCTGTTCTGACTGTGCAGGAATTAGCAGGGACCCATGTGCTCCCAAAGGGCTGCTGTGACACCACAACTCATTGAAAGGATGACCTGTGAGCTGTGTGCCGCCCATACTGCAGGGGTTGTGCTGTCACATTTAAACCTGATTTTTAAGTTGATTAATCTCTCATTTTTTCCCTTTGTCTCCACCACAGGATGGGTCACTGGGAAACATTGATGACCTGGCACAGCAGTATGCAGACTACTACAACACCTGCTTCACGGATGTGTGTGAGAGGATGGAAGAGCTGCGCAAACGAAGGGTTTCCCAAGACCTTGATGTGGTATGTAGAGAGCTTGGGACTTTATTAACAATGATTGCCATTTGTGACCTAAAAGAATCACCAGTATTTCAGTTTGATGATTTGAAAGTTACTTTCCCATCCAGGGAAAGAACTATACGTGATTGCACTTGCACACACAAATGCTTCAGCAACCTCAATTTAACACTTGGAAATTAACTGCTTTTTTTTTTTTTTTTTTTTTTGCCTCTCTGGGCATTCTGTTCCACTTCTTCACTGTCTTCATAATGAACCTTTTTTCCCTCCGATATTCTGTTAAATACCCTCCCATGTCTTTTTATGCCTATTGTCTCACATTGTTGTTTCATATGCCACTGTGAAGAACTGGACTCCACCTTTCTGATAGCCTCTCCATAGCTACCAGTGGGCTACAGGTTGGTCTCCTCAAAGCTGTCTTTTTTTTTTTTTCCAAGCTCAATCTCCCAGATCTCTTAGCATCTAATTGCAGGGCAAGGGTTCAAACTCCTGAAAACAGTGACCCTGCTCTGAGATCATTCAATTACTTCGGCAGTTCTTTGATTTCTTTCTGTCACACCTGAAGGTGGTGTTCCAAGCATGACCTGACAGCTGCAAAGTAAAAGTGAAGAATGTCTTCCATCTTCTGGCTGCACTGCTATTTGTGCTGTTCTGCAAGACTCTCTGTCCAATTTCTGTGGAACAGTCTGTCCCAGACAGTCAGTCCCCAGTAAGTGTTGGTGTATGGACCTACTCCTCCTCAGGAGCAGGACACTGCAGTTGTCCGTGTTGAGTTTCATGAGGTTCCTGTCAGGGCACTCTGCCCTTAAGCGTATTGACTGTAGCTCAAGGATGGCATCATCTACAACCTTGATGATGGTGCCATCTGTTTCCTCTTCAGGTTTTTAATGCAAAAGGCCCCAGGTTAGACCCTGCCGTGCTCTGCTTATAACTGGCCTTCAGTTACAGCACGCTCTCCATTACATTATCCTTAAAGCCTAACCTGCTGTTTTTCACCCATGCAGTGGCAAAGATTCTCTGGGGAGTCCCACTTTCTCTGAAACTAATCTTTTATTGGGACATCTCCATAACTCATTTTTGTTAGCTTTATGAAGGAACCTTTTCAGGAAGCGTGTCACAAAAACATGGTTCTCGCTTTTTGATAATTTCCATTTCCGTAATGTTCTGTTACATTTATAAATGATTATCACTGCTTAGGATGTATGTGCATGTCTGTATTGTGCATGTGTGTTACTGATAATTGTGCTTCTTTCATTTTAAACCTCTTCATTAGTTTTCGTGATGTTCATGAAAATGTTCTGTAACAGAGAGAAAAGAGATTTTAGGTCTGTTTGGTCTTTGTGTTAAGTTTATGCTTCCCAACTGTATGGTACATTTCACTTACAGTTTTGTAGATATTTTCTAGAAAAACTTGCCTGATTCTAAGCATGTTACAGAAGGAATTCTCTATACCATACCTGGTTTTTCTGTGTTGGTAATTTTTACATATCACATGCAGAAACTCAGAGCTGAATTTTCTAGTTATTGCAGAGCCTGTAAATTGTGAACCTGATTATGTAGTTGTTCCTAGTAGTTTTGCTTTGAAACAATGCAGTGTTTCTGTTATGAAATGATTTTTATAAGGAATAGCTTTGTATGCTGTCATTTAGTGCAGTACTTCTTACTTGAACATCTCAAGTTGTAAATCTCATATCCCATCTTGTTTGTTTGGGAAAATATGGTATGATTAGTATCTCTAGTGATGCATAGTGCTGCAGCAGAGCCAGCCTTGCATCTGATCAAACTTCTGCAGTTCTTCTATGGGATCAAATCCTTCAAGAGGAATATGGGAACTGAAGATGCATAATTGTGTTTTCTGCCTTTATTTCCCCAGATCCTGATAGATTCCCTGATCCAGGGAACATTTTCCTCCCATTCTCTAGCAGCTGTATCTGATGATGTGGTTTACTTTGAGGATTCTTTCTGTCTTCTTGGGATTTTAATTTGACAGCCGAGGGGCTACCAGAACTCATACTGACTACAGTTATACAAACTGGCTGCAGGGTCAGTGCAGAGAGTCAGCTCAGCCCCACTCCAGTTGGATAGATTATTCTTTTTTTTTTTAAATAGGAGGAAGGAAATCAAGTGTCTTTTACAAATCTATTCTTACCAAGAAGATCCAACTGTTAAACAAAAGATGATTGCAGGAAATCCCTTTGTAGGTGGACCCTTCTGTGTGTAGCAGTTGGCAGCAGAGAATTGTGGTTCGTGTGCAAGCCTTCACATACCTGGTATGTTAGGTAGCTGTTGCCAGCCATGAAGCTCCCTCTCCTGGCACTTGCGCTCTTGGAAGGAAGCTCCTGTCCTGTAATGAGGCATGTGAGTAATGAGGCATTCTTTGTGGCAGGAAAGGATTCCCTTCCATTTGGACAGATGGGCCTAATTTGGCCGCCTTCTCTTCCAAAGCTGCTGAAGCCAGTCTGGGGAAAGCCATCTGAGCTTAATTAACTCACATCAAAGGTGCAGAGCTTCATGCTGGTTTAAATAGATGCAAGCTAACCCAAGACAGACCAGTGAGTGATTCACTAGCACATTCTGTTCAAGAGAAAGTAGAGTCAGAGAAAATGGCTCTTGGAAAAGACATTCTGTAGACTCCTCTTTAGTGGCTCCCATATTCAGCTTGCTCACTGTAGTAGACCAGTGATGACTTTTGAACTTTTAATTTTCAGTTGCAATATCTTCTCTCAGACTTAAATTAGTGCTCAGTTTTTTCTACATCCATCACCAGCATAATCCAGACATCAGATAGCCATTGTGCTGGTAACAGATGATATCATAGATATTAGCTCTCTTCAACAAAAGCATCCAAACAGCACTGACTGCAGCTGAAGCTTGCTGTCACCAATAGGTAGTCAGGTGTGACTCAATAGGTACAGTGGGAGTAGGGGATGGACGTGTTGGCTGGCATGTATTTTCACTGTGATAGAATATTATACCTGCTTATAATCTGCTTTAGAGTGAGGGACTGGTTTAAACAGAAGAGCTGCTGAAGTGTCCTCTAAAGTAGTAATGTGAAAGACAGAACAGATGGCTCATTTATTGTGGTATCTTTCCTCTCTGCGCAGCTTGAGGAAAGGTAGTGTATTTGTAGGGGTTTGGAGTTGTTAATAAAGTTGGGAGAAATACCAGGTTCACACAGCTTATCCCAGTAGCAAATATATGCAGTTAGAAAATTGTGGTGCACTGATATTATTGATCTGCTATTCACTGCCTTCCTCACAGGGATGAAGAGGGACCATGCCTAGCTCTGTAGCCTCTTCCCTGCAGTGAGGACATGCCAGAGCCTTTTCCCCCCACTAGTGGTCTTCTCCTTCTCTTTATCCAAGTGCTACTGCAAAGAAAAGCTGATGCACATGCAGTACTAGTGCTGATTCCTAGGGTTCTGCCAGAGTGAAGGCTTCTGAATTGTGAGAAGGTATGCCATAGAGTAAGCCTAAGCCTTGCACTGAGGTGAGGAACCAGGGAACAGGAATCTCTCTTCACACCTCTCAATGCTACAGATGCTTTGTGTAAAAAAATTATGTAGGTATTGGCACACACCTTTAGATTTTAAAGCGGGGTAAGTGATAAATGCTGGAGACCACAGTTAGGTTTGCTGAATTCTCCAGGAATGAAGAGGAGTGGATCACCAAGGGGCTGAACGTGGTGCAAAAGTGCCCAGTGAGGCTGCATCCGAAGGAGCAGAGCAGTGACAAAGAAGTGCCTGAGCTGGCAGCATCTTACCAGGGACAGGCATTCAGTACTGGCTCACCCAGAGTGCTCTTTGTAGCTTGTTCTCTGAAAGAACAGAAATATGAAATACGAACTGCTTATTGCTGCTTTTGTATACTTTGAAAACAATTTTAGCTGTTTGAGAGTAAGTGTTGATATCTTCATTGTGTATTGTATTTTCTAATCAGCCCTCCAACCTTCCCTATCAGAGCATGGCCATTTCTGTCTGGATATCCTGCTCTCGTGTTGAATTAAAAAAGAAAAATCACTTGGTGAAATTGTTTGGGAGAGCAGCATATCATTCCATATAACAGTAGCTGCAGATGGAGCTAAACACAGATTATTTTTCCAAATGGCAGTGCAGTCAGGGATTGTTGCCCCTAACCACAATAGGTGCTTTTTGCACTTTGGAATTTTGCCTCTGTTTTTGTAATGGAGAATGTGTTTGGGTTTGGACGTAAATGTTTGTGAACAGCATGGGAGTTGCCCACATTTCCTAGCATTTGGCCTATTCCTGTGCACCATGTGTTTTTTTGGCTGCGGTCAGAGTAGATAGAGCAAATTTTCAGGGCCATAATGGATGTATCCCTGGTAATATTCAGCTGGACATCTGCTAAAATGCAGTTATGGCCAGAAAAGTGACTCCATGAGGATGACACCTTGTTACTGCTCATCTCTGCTTCCTTTGTATCTTTGGGATCATATCTGCTTGGGTCGCTGTCAAAACCAGGTTTGCCCTGCCCGTCAGCAGGGCAGGACGTATTGATGTAGCTGTGAAAGAGCAAACTGCATTCTGTTGTCTCATCCATCACTGACAGCGGCCAGCTAACTGCTGCTGCCAAGGCCTGCACTGTCGCTGGTGATCCCGAAGTCAGAGAGCAGCCCGAGGCTTCCTGATGGATTCTGACAGCTATGGCTGTGGCACTGGGGAGTTGCACTTATCTTTTGACTTGTAAATTACATAAATTCGAAATGAGTGTCATTGTGAAGTGACAAGACACACAGTTTACCTCTTTTTTTTTTTTTTTTTTTTTTTCCTCTGCATAAATTTAGTTCATTGCCTTGCACAGAAAGGGAAATGTTCAGAATCTTTCTCTGTCTACATGGTGTTAAGGTACAGTATCTGTAACTGAGAAATAGCCTTTGGTAGGCTATAAAACCTGGCTTTATGAACCTGCGTATATGCTGATGCACAATCAGGAAATAGAAATGAGCATAAAACCAATGTACAATTCCTGCCTTGCTGCCCACACGTG